AAATTATAGTAAATATATTAATTCAGGAAAACTTGGCTTATTAGGCAAATCGGGCCTTGAATAGTAGGCTGAGAAGTGAGTTCTGGCTACTAGGTACGACATATATATATATATATATATATATATATATATATATATATATATATATATATATATATAAAATAGTGTTTTCCTAACTCAACGTAGGGTTTATTTTTCTACACATCTCTCTCTCTCTCTCTATATATATATATATATATATATATATATATATATATATATATATATATATATATATATATATATATATATATATATATATATATATATATATATATATATATGTCGTACCTAGTAGCCAGAACGCACTTCTGAGCCTACTATGCAAGTCCCGATTTGCCTAATAAGCCAAGTTTTCATGAATTAATTATTTTTCGGCTACCTAACCTACCTAACCTAACCTAGCCTAACTTTTTCGGCTACTTAACCTAACCTAACCTATAAAGATAGGTTAGGTTAGGTTAGGTAGGGTTGGTTAGGTTCGGTCATATATCTACGTTAATTTTAACTCTAATAAAAAAAATTGACCTCATACATAATGAAATGGGTAGCTTTATCATTTCATAAGAAAAAAATTTGAGAAAATATATTAATTCAGGAAAACTTGGCTTATTAGGCAAATCGGCCCTTGCATAGTAGGCTGAGAAGTGCGTTCTGGCTACTAGGTACGACGTATATATATATATATATATATATATATATATGTCGTACCTAGTAGCCAGAACTCACTTTTTGGCCTACTATTCAAGGCCCGATTTGCCTAATAAGCCAAGTTTTCCTGAATTAATATATTTTTTCTAATTTTTTTCTTATGAAATGATAAAGCTACCCATTCATTATGTATGAGGTCAATTTTTTTTTATTGGAGTTAAAATTAACGTAGATATATGACCGAACCTAACCAACCCTACCTAACCTAACCTAACCTATCTTTATAGGTTAGGTTAGGTTAGGTAGCCGGAAAAGTTAGGTTAGGTTAGGTTAGGTAGGTTAGGTAGTCGAAAAAGCATTAATTCATGAAAACTTGGCTTATTAGGCAAATCAGGCCTTGCATAGTAGGCTGAGAAGTGCGTTCTGGCTACTAGGTACGACATATATATATATATATATATATATATATATATATATATATATATATATATATATATATATATATATATATATATATATATATATATATATAATATATATGGATATATATATATATATATATATATATATATATATAATATATATATATATATATATATATATATATATATATATATATATATATATATATATATATATATGTATATATATATATACATATATATATACTACCTAACCTAACCTATCTTTATAGGTTAGGTTAGGTAGCCAAAAAAGTTAGGTTAGGTAGTCGAAAAATCATTAATTCATGAAAACTTGCCTTATTAGGCAAATCGGGCCTTGCATAGTAGGCTGAGAAGTGCGTTCTGGCTACTAGGTACGACATATATATATATATATATATATATATTATATATATATATATATAATATATATATATATATATATATATATAATATATATATATATATATATATATATAGTATTATATATATATATATATATATATATACTGTTCTTAAGGATTCCCCCATTTTGCACCTGCAAGATAACGTTAGATTTTAAGGGTTGACGAATGTTAATCTTCTTGTTTGATGAACTGTTCATTTGAGACAGTTAAAATAAGCACACGTCAATATATATAAGACAACAAAAAGGTATAAGAATGATTCACATCTCAATCAAGCAACATTTACAATTGATGTAAATTATTTTAGGGTATAATACATAAGTTTTGTATTTAAACTTGATTTTAGTGTTTAGTGTAATACATAAGGAGTACTTGTGATCCTGTGGTCCTGGGTTCGATCCCAGGCACCGGCGAGAAACAAAGGGCAGAGTTTCTTTCACCCTATGCCCCTGTTACCTAGCAGAAAAATAGGTACCTGGGTGTTAGTCAGCTGTCATGGGCTGCTTCCTGGGGGTGGAGGCCTGGTCGAGGACCGGGCCACGGGGACACTAAAAAGCCCCGAAATCATCTCAAGATAACTAAATGTATTTTGAATGTTTCATACAACCATTAAATATCATTCACAATTGACTAATGAATTTTACAAAAAAGACCATAAAATATATATTTAAACATGTAAAAACTATTTGTAATACATTAGGAACAAAATAGTTTTAGAAAAATCGTAAATTATAAAAGATATATGTTTGGATTTTTGGAGTAAAAGTTTCTCAAATGCTCTCCTGCACCATTCTCAAGACAAGTTATTCGTACACCTTAGGGAAATGAAAATGAAAGTTTTCAAAACGTTTTGTGTTTGCTGGGTAGTACCCTATTGATAGACTTTCACATATATATAATGTGACATAACCGTTATGAAGTTACATATGAATACAGCCTTTATCCCTCAAACCATGAAGGGTCCAAATGGCTTCAACACCCACAGGGGCAACAACAACAAAAATTAAAAAAATTCTTTCATCTTATAAAAGTGTTAATTTTTGTTCCCTGATCACGGACAAAATAACAAAAAAATCGTAGGTGGCATATTTTAGCTGCAATAGGGTAGGGAAGTCTGGCAAAAAAGGGGCATTGACAGAGCCTTCGCCAGACAAGGTCTATTCTGCCCGAGCTGTCAGGCGGCAGGTGCCACAAATATATTATTACCTAATTTATTTAAATATGTCTAATTGATTTTTTCTTAGCTTTTTTGCAGTAATATTATTCAATAGTGCTAATTGTGATTTATTTATATAATAAAATGTGTGAACCATCCCTGTACTCAAAATTATGATGTGCATATTAGTGATTCAATTATTATGTTCATATAACAATAAACAAATAGTTTTGCTGTTATTACACTATATACACAGGTTATATATATGTATCTGAATATTTTGCTCACCATAACGAACCACTAAGTTGGTATTGTGAGTCAAAATACAACGAGGAGTGACCACCATACACCAGCCAGTCACTCGCTGCCACTCCCTTCCTCAACAACACCTCAGTCACCCTCATTCTCCTCCCACAATACTGTTTTTACATTTATTCACTATACACAGATGTTATAGATAAGTATTAACATATTTTGTTTACCATAACTGTACATCTAAGCTTGTATGGTAAGTAAAGGCCCAAAGACGTAGCTACTCAGTCAGATGGTGGGGGCCGCCCTCAAGGCCAGATGCACTAATATTTCTCCTCCAACAATACTGTTTGTGGTGTTATTATGCTATATACACACATTATATATAAGTGTCTACCCGTTTTATTCACCATACCTGTACAAATAAGCTGGTATGGTGTCCAAAGACCATGGTGGCCACCAGTAAACAACATGACAAATCGTGCAGACGACGCACCTCCCTCACCAAAATGGCGGCTCCCAACTACTCCTATTGCTGTTATGACACTCTATACATACGTTATATATAAGTATCTACATTTGTATTCACCATAGCGAACCACTAAACTGGTATGGTGAGTGCAGTCAACAAAAGGTGGCCACACACAGTCAAAAGACCACGCCACCCCCCTCCCTCCATGGAGCACAGCGCTAAATATCACCACAATCCTGATATTATCAGAATCCTGGTCAGTTTTATCACAGTCAGGGGTCTTTTGTAATACTATTATCGCTAAATAATAGCATGAACATATATATTATGGCATTTGTAGGCGATGCTGTGGTCACAAGCTGAACAGCGGTGCTGTGAGCTCATGCTGCGTGCGTTAGCCTTGATGGCTCACTGAGTACTGAAACTCTCACACCCAGGAATGTTAGCCTGGATTTTTTTCTAAGTGGCATCTGGCAACTATCGGTCATGGCTGCACTATAGCTGCCCCTATCCCAGGCGGGGCATTTAAATTATAGCGCTAGACACGAAATCATATATATATATGACTTGCGCGGTTTTGGTTTTGTCACTGAAATCATATATATATATGATTTGCACGGTTTAAGGGATAAAGCTAAAAAGAACATTTACAAAACAAACAAATACATAATAAATAATAATTTGTCTTGGATAGCCTCAGTCTAGTCTGCAATCAACGGCCGCTCTCGTCCTTCATTAATACTAACCTTACTCTATTCACATGTATAATATCAATGTATCCCACCACATGAGTGTATTCATATACAATAATCAATTTCTTCAAGTTCCCTTCGGAATGCCTAGTCAACTAAGGGCATTTTTACTTAATGGATGGCATTACTTAGTGGAAGGAGGGGAAGGGCAGATTACTTATCTAGGAAATGATATCTCCTGTGGTCTGAAGTTCCCATGTGTCACTAGCTCACCTCACATAATTCTCTCTTAACATAATTATAAACATAAAATGGATATGAACAAAGATATATAAGAATAAAGACTTACAAAGTATATGTTCGAGAGTGTCTTGGTGACCCATGGACTTAAGCTCTTGCAAGTGAGGATAGAAACCAATATACATCACACTACCATCGACCATTTTCAGACACATACTGAGGAATACCACTTGCCTAAATTGGTAAATGTTAATGATGCCAGCTCTAGTTCATGTGAATATATTATGACCCTCTCTTTAGTATTGCTTCCTTTTGTGTTGTGTACTTCTTATAATATACCTTCTGTTGAATGTTGCAGGGACTGTAGTAAATACTCAGACTATATTTCTTGGCTTTATTAGTTGTGATAGAATAAATATCCAGAACACCAAGGTCCTGAGGACCTGCCTCTAGCTAGGTCTGTGAGGTACTGACTCACTTACTAGAAAGGCAGCTACTGCCTGCTCTGAGAAATGATGTCATGAGGCTCACTGGTCACCGTATTGGCTGCTCACCAACCGACATAGAATTTAAAGGCTTGCAAATAGTTATGTATTTATCTACGGGCATTCACGATACTCTGTACTTTTAATGGCACGAATCCTGCAGGGAGCTTTCGTTGGTGAAATCGTCAGCTTGATCTTCATGTTTTGGATCGGAGTGGGTTACCAGATGGCCAGGTCTTCGGGCCAGATCAAGCTGGCAGCCATGCCCACTAGCATAGACGGCTGCCAGAACGTCACCATCGTTGAACTCCCCTTCCCACATGAACCGTAAGTAGCATCACACTCTCGATACATATTTGAAAACATATCAAATAAAACAGTTGTAGGTTTATAGCCAAATTCGATCAGTACCAGTTAACATCCAAATGCAGTGACTCGTACAAATGTCTAGCCTAGCTTCAAGCCAATATTTACCCGAGTTTTTTCCGAGTGAAAACTTTTCGAATTGGCATCCATTAAACTTGTGCTTTATTTTGCGTTGATATATTTAGCCCCATTTGATGATCCCTTGTTTACCATTTTATTAAAATGGTGAATGTTTTGGCATTTGGTAACTTTATTATTATTTCGTTCACACACACATACACATATATACATATATATATGTGTGAATATCACGAAAATAAACACGTGATTAAGAATGTGACAATGTCAGACCACGGAGGAAAAATGAAACAGGAAATTTCCTTAAGTACTTTCGTATATTAAATACATCTTCAGAAGGTCATTTTACAGATCGAGTGATGGGTATAAATAGGCAGGAGAGAGTGGTGAAGTAAGGTGAGGTACAATACTTGGACAACGCAGACGGCCCATTGGCCCATCAGATGCACCCAATTGGCCCATCCGATGTAGCCCAATGGCCCATCTGATACAGCAGACATACAAGCATAATACATAGGTAATTATAACATAAAGAGGTAAATATATACAATAAATTAGTGAGACAAATGTTTTTCAATGATTCTACTTAAATCGCCCTTTAGCTGATCTATTAGAAATGGATCTAAGTTATATAGACCACTGCTAATATTCAAATTACTTTCTTTGGTGATCTGTATCAAAGCAGATTCAATTATGTTTCTGTTATAGGTGCTTTTACAATTTGTTATTGAAGAAGCACTCTCCCAATCAATTTGGTGAGGTTTTTCTGACAAATGCACAAACAAAGCATTAGACAATTGGCCATGTCTTACAGAGTATTTATGTTGCGATATTCTACATTTTAAATCTTTAGATGTTTGCCCGACATAGAACTTATTACATTCCTTACAAGGTATTTTATAAATGACGCAATTATCACTACGAGGGCTGTTCCTTACTAATAGCTTACCAACAGTGTTTTCGTAGCTAAACATTACATCTATATTAAAAAGTTTCAAGGCCTTGACAATACTCTCAAACCCAGAGAAATATGGTAAACATAACACATTCTTTGGGCGAATCCTTTCACTGCATACATTATTATAATATGTACGACGAGCTTTGTTACGACAAACTTCCCAAAAATTCAGTGGGTAACAAAGCTTAAGACCAATCGAATCAATATTCTTAAATTCTTCATCTAAGAATTCTGGACTCACAACTCGAAGAGCTCTTAGATACATTGAAGAAAAAATTGACTTTTTTACATTGTATTTATGCCCTGAAAAATAATGAACATAAGATAACAATTATATCTTATGAACATAAGATTAAGGAAATTTCCTGTTTCATTTTTCCTCCGTGGTCTGACATAGTCATATATATATATATATATATATATATATATATATATATATATATATATATATATATATATATATATATATATATATATATATATATAAATGTTAGTATATTTTGGTAGCAGTCTTTCCTGTAGACATATGCTATTAAATATGACCGAAAAAGTAAGATTAATAATTCTAACATGAATTTTCTAGATCTTTCTTATGTTTCTTTTCACTGTTGATGGTAATTGAAAAATCAATTCTCCAAAATTCATTTTTATTTCTAGTCTGACGCGACACTTTGAACGCGTTTCGTAATAACTAATTACATTTTCAAAGGCTTTTAGTTTACACACACACAACTATTACCAGCAAACACTAAACAGAGTTCTTACTATGCTATGATTTAAACAGCTTTCATTTTTCATTTTATACCTGCATTTTGGGTGAGGTGATATGTTACAACAGTTTTGGATGAGGTGAACAAAACTTCAACACAGGATAGAACATGAAAACAATGGGTATTTAAGGTAAGAATGGAAGTAATTGCAGAGGCCCTATTGGCCCATATTTCTTGATGCTTCTATATTGGAGCGGAGTCTTGAAGTGGGTAGAATATAGTTGTGCATTAATTGGCTGTTGATTGCTGGTGTTGACTTCTTGATGTGTAGTGCCTCGCAAACGTCAAGCCGCCTGCTATCGCTGTATCTATCGATGATTTCTGTGTTGTTTGCTAAGATTTCTCAGGTAATGGTTTGGTTGTGGGAAGAGATTATATGTTCCTTAATGGAGCCCTGTTGCTTATGCATCGTTAATCGCCTGGAAAGAGATGTTGTTGTCTTGCTTATATACTGAGTTTTTTGAGGCTTACAGTCCCCAAGAGGGCATTTG